CAGGTTAATAATGGTAAATACTCACAATACACCCACGCTCCAAATATAGCAATTTCGCATAATTAGATCCAGTAGGAAAGGAGTCACGACTGAAAAGTACGACTGAAGAACCATTTCACAGAAGACTTTTGAGCGCTACTGTAGGTCTCTGTCCAAAGTTCCATGGGGAGTTATAACGTCCCCTGGTTTGTGGTATAGTATGCACCTTTGATAAAACCTAGCTTTGGATTGACTTGTTTCGATGCAAGGGAAAAAGGGAACTCCGTATCAACGAATTAGGCCCTAAGTTTCCTTTTTGTGAAGTATAATCATATGTTTCATTATCAATAACTTCTTTTATACTCTCTTTCAGCACAAACGGTTAATGGAAAAACAACTAATGAATGAAGGATTGTTGAAGGATTTCTTTCTCGAATGACATTGTTAAACTTCAATAACGTTACTATCCTGTGATCCTTTCAGTGTGCTCATAAATGTTTCACTTCAATAAATTATTCTTTTCTGCTTTATCGTCTTGCTACATCTTACGTGTAGTGGAATCCAGCTTCAGCCCCTGGTTGATAAAGGAAGGATCCTTATCCTTACTATATATAAAGCGCCCGCGTCTGTCTGTTTGCACAGAAATTCGTAGCTCCTGTCCCAGTAGATCTAGAACGGACTCCGTCCACAGGGGTTGGAGTTTGCGCGAAATGAAAGTTGGAGCGGGAAAATCGTAACTCCTGTCCAAGTGGACCTAGAGCATTAAGATTTGGTAACAGTTCAGGAGGCAGAATGGGAACACTAATGGTAGGTGAGGGAACTGGAGCCCGCCCGCAGGAATTCAGGAGGCAGAATGGGAACACTAATGGTAGGTGAGGGAACTGGAGCCCGCCCGCAGGAGGCGGGATTTGCGCGAAATAAATGTTTGAGTGGAACATCGTAACTTCTGTTCCGTTTCGCTTAGAGCGTTCGACTTTGGTATAAATACTGAAGACACGATGGGACTGTTGGGTGACGAAACCGTACCCCGTCCAAAGAGGGCAAGTGGGCAGGGTTTGTGCGATAAATCATAGCTCCTGTTCCCGTAGACATAGAGCGTTCAAAATTGGCAGGAACACAGGTGCAGGATGGGAACTCTGATGATAAGTGGTAGGAAGACATATGACGTAAGGGATGTGGCGGAATCGAACTGATAAGAGCTGATAAGTGGCCTCAGAAAGCAAGACCCATTTACGAAACAAAACTCCGACGGAGAAACCAGTTCGGTGTTGAAGGTATTTTTGACATTTAGTGTGTTGCATTCGATAGGAGGGTGGTAAAGAAGGGTGACAAAAAGTTAGTGGTGAGTGCAGTGACAGGGACCGATCAAAGCTTCTTTATCATGAAGAGATGAAACTTCGGTTCATCTACTGCTGTAATATTATGATCGTTATCCACCAAGGTTTGTGTCTCAATGTGGAATCACGGTTCCTCTTTGCTTTTATGTTATTCGCTACAAACTTATCCAACCGCTAAAAATCTTGGAGCCTCTGCTCATGATACATCTTTAGAGAAAAAGTTCCATTGATTACATCCGCCTATTATGCAGTCTGCTACTATGAGATATAGAGCGTCACTAACAATAAGCCTTTTTCTAGGCGACTTTGCTAATAAAGATGGTGAGCACGTCCAAGTTGTTGTTGTCCAGTTTGCTAGTAGCGATAGACTGGACTCTTTTTACTTTCTTACAGAGTGAAGTTCTGTGAGTAAACCATTAAAGTAACTTCTATGACTGGCGTTGCTTTTGACTACATGGTCGCAGCATTGCGTATTCAGTTC